TCCTATTGAAAGTTAAAACCCTTACTGAAAGTCGAAAGTTTTATCGAAAGTCGAAAGTTCTACCGAAACTTTAAAGTCTCACCAAAGTCGAAAGTTCTACCAAAAGTCGAAAGTCGCATTAAAATTCGAAACCCTTACCGAAAGTCGAAAGTTTCACCAAAATTCGAAATCTTTACTGAAAGTTGAAAGTTCTATCAAAAGTCGAAAGTCTCACCAAAAGTCTCACCGAAAGCCAAAAGTTCTAACGAAAGTCGAAAGTTTTATCAAAGTCAAAAGTTCTATCAAAAGTTGAAAGTTTTACCGAAATTAGAAACCCTTACTGAAAGTCGAAATCCTCGCCAAAAGTTGAAAGTCACCGAAAGTCGAAATCCTCGCCAAAAGTTGAAAGTCCCCGAAAGTTAAAAGTCTCACCGAAATTCGAAACTCACCAAAAATCGAAAGTCTCACCGAAATTCGAAACTCACCGAAAATCGAAAGTCTCACCGAAATTCGAAATCCTTACTGAAATTCAAAAGCTTCACCAAAAGTCGAAAGTTCTACCGAAAGTTTAAAGTCTCACCAAAATTCAAAACTCTTACCGAAAATCAAAAGTCACACTAGTTGTAAGTTCTACCAAGAGTCGAAGTTATACATGTGGTCGAAATGTTTCAGCCATTTCGACCACTTGGCAAATGTTCAAAGCAAAATTATCAATAATTTGTAAATATGATAGAAATTAGGCTTCATATATGTTAAGCCAGACCCGCAGAACCTTATGCAAGCCCTTTTTGTATTTCGGCAAGACCTTTTGGTATTTCAGCAGACTCTGAAAGTTTCAGCTGTATATTAAGTACAGATTTTCGAAAATTCCAGAGTCTGCCGAAATACCAAAAGGTCTTGCCGAAATACAAAAAGGGCTTGCATAAGGTTCTGCGGATCTGGCTTAACATATATGAAGCCTAATTTCTATCACATTTACAAATTATTGATAACTTTGCTTTGAACATTTGCCAAGAGGTCGAAATGGCCGAAACATTTCGACCACATGTATAGTCGAAGTCTTGACCAAATCAAAAGTTCTACCAAAAGTCGAAAGTCATACCAAAATTCGAAACCTTACCAAAAATTGAAAATATCACCGAAATTCAAAATCTTTGCTGAAATTCAAAAGTCTTACCAAAAGTCAAAAGTTCTACCGAAAGTCAGAAAGTCTCACTGAAATTCGAAACTCTTACCGAAAATCAAAAGTCTCACTGGTCGTAAGTTCTACCAAGAGTCAAAAGCCTTGCCGAAAGTCGAAAATTCTACCAAAAGTCGAACCGAAATTCGAAATTCTTACCGAAAGTCGAAAGCCTCAATGAAATTTGAAACCCTTACCGAAAGTCGAAAGTCTCACTGAAATTCGAAACCTTTACTGAAAGTAAAAAGATACACCGAAGTCAAAAGTTCTACCGAAAGTCAAAAATCTCACCAAAAGTTGAAACCCTTACCGAAAGTCGCAAAGTATTACTGAATATCAGAGCTAAGATGTAACTGGTCACTTTTGTATTTTTTGATTAACAATATCGTTTTTTATTTATTGATAATAAATACGTTCATGACAATATTACGACATTAATTATGCAGACGATCGAGGAAATATAGTATTAATATGTAATAATTACCC